GAAACATACTAATGCGTGATATCACAAAACCAAAAAAAAAACGCTCACAAATGAAATTCAGAAGTTGCCAACAATTTACTTACAGGATCAGCTGTTTGTGCCTTCTCCAAACGCTCCCTCCTACAAATTCAAGAGTTATTTGCACTCCACTTGGAACAATAGGAGAATATTCCACAACAGAGTTCAAGACAACAGAAAACCACTCACGTGTAAATATGTTCTCGCTTATCAGCGGCATGGTCCATCAAGGTCTTTCTTGCCCATTCCCATGCCCCCTGTATAGTATCGTAATTGGGCTGATAATAGCAAAAGTTATCAGCAAGTTCTCTCCGCACAATCAACTCCTCTAAAAAGGTATCAACTGCCTTCAGAGTAGCAAGTAAAGATGAAACGGCGAACCATACATTAGATACAAGAAACTACCAAGTTAAAACAAGCAGTAGAATGGTTAGAGAATTAACTGCTACAAACCTGAGCATAAAGTTTCCGCAAACCTCGTGCCTCTAAGGCACATCTCTGTGCAGAAATCTGCCCAAAATGTAGATACGGAGACAAACAAGAAAGAGCTCTGGGTTTCAAAGGATTATTCCTGTCTGTAGAATAATTCCTCAACCTTTTTGCATATTCATTTGCATCCCTTTCTTATTCGGTGGTTGTAGAGTTGGAAAGTCGATTAAATACTCAGGAATCAGTTTTATTTATCTTGCCCTAATCGTCTTAGCACTATACTCTAACTTAACCGATGCAACCCAAATAGGAACTATATTATGAGCATCAACCTCATGTATGGTCACAGAATCACTCACTCTCTTACCAATCTCTTCTTTGCATTTTCGAATTGGCCTTAACGGTGAGAAATCAGTAACTAAAAGTGAAGCTTTACATTCTCCAAGAAACTTTGGTATTGTTTCTTCTACTCCCTAAAAACTCAGCACACATAAGCAAAATGTTGGTACCATGCTGAGGAAAACATAGAATTCACAACCTTTTAGCAAGAACATTGCAGATAAGTCGTTCGTTTAGACAGAATTTTCATATTCATTGAATAAAGAATCCTACACAACTAAGGTAGCATCAACTGACTACAATAAGCAGCAATTTTTACATGAACATTCGGAGGAAATCGGTGAACATTTTTAATTTTTTGTAATTGACGTAAACTCTAAAACTCTTACTTGAAACAAATAACAAAAACCTCTACTTGAAACAAGAAGAAAGGAATCTGAGCTCTTCAAGACATTTTTGTAATTGACGTAAACCCTTCAGCATGAACCTAGTTGTCTTGCTTTAGCCCCCATGAATTGTTCAAAGAGATTGAAAGCTATAGCCACGGGCACATTGGCCTTGTTGGCTTGATCAACTGCGTGGATCAAAGCCCAGTTGTCTTTCAACCGTTGATCCCTAAACATCCAGTACACCACGGGACCATTTCTTAGTGAATGAGACCCTTCCTTCAAGACCCGGATCCGACCCGGTTGTACAGAGGTTGGTTTGGATGACGGTGAAGTTAGAGAAGTCATGGAGAGGGTAAAGAGGAAGCGAAGCGAAGGACGTCGGCTACCGTGCGCCAGTTGGGGGTGTTGTTTACAGGGCGGTGGATTGATTGAGGAAGAGAAATTGGAGGGAAGATGGCAGAAACAGTTTGAAGTTGTGGTTTTAAATCAATATACGTGGATAAGTTAGAGATTCAACACGTGGCACCTGCACAGCATATTGTTTTTGGGGTGTGGGATTAATTTAAGGGTAAACTATAGCTATGATCAATTAACCATTATTCCATTTTATTTTGATGATATTTTTTAATATTTTTAATTAGATAATTTAACTATTTAATTATATCAATCGAGTTATTAACCTGTAAAAGCAACCCGAACCTAAAGTACTACGATCCCATCAGTGACAGTTATAGTAACCAAAGATAAACTTTGTTTTATATTACTTTGAGTTGCGGTTGTAGTTGCCACGGTTATCAGAGATTGAGAAACATGAGAAATGGGTTTGCAAGAGAGTTAAAGTTGGGAGAAGTTCCCCACTATAGATGCTCTGAAGTTGTTCTCGAAGGATTGGAAGATGAGAAAACAACATCACACAAAGAACATCGGAGCTTCACAATTTTTCCGGTATCAGTGTTATGAACGAGCATGGGTTCGAGATGAGCCCAATACCAGGCTCATTTACCTTTGATAGCCTGGGTTCGAACCATGACTAACCATTCGAACCTTTTATGCACGACCTTGACTACTAACTGGTCGACCGAGGTTGTCCATCGGAGTGATTGTTGTATTTTTCAGAAAATCGTGTTAATCGAGAATAATATAAAGAAATAATAATGATAATAATACTCATATATCATTATAAAAAGAATGACAAGGAACAAAGTTACTCTATTTCAAGATTGTTATGTAAAATAATAATTTAAGACGAAATCGAACGTGAAAAATAAAATAAAAAAATTAAACTTTTTAAAAAAAACAAAATAAAATATATGAAAAGAAAAATACTATTTTGTTTTTATTTTGATCGAAACAGTTGAGGCATGTAAGACATATTTTCAGTAATTCATTTGGTGTTTGAGATCGTTGGTTGTCTATCTCTCATAATACAATATCTAGATGATCAACTACAGTTGCACAGCTGTGGAGATAGTGAATTATTATTTCCTTCGTCTATCAACGGAAAACTAATGGAGAAAAACTTTTCTAATTTCTCGAACATGGGTTTAACTTAGCAGGTTAGCATGATATATATAAGGGATTTCCAAGAGAGACTTACTCTAATCAGATATCTTTTAATATTCAATTTTAAACATATAATAATATATTTTAATTTGAAAATTTCAAAAGATATAGACAAATTTTACTATTCAAACTTAAATAGATATTATTTTAATTTGAAATATTCAAAATTATATAATTATCTTTAATATTTAAAGTTAAATAACTTATAAATATATGTTTAATTTAACTTATTCAAAGAGTAATTATCATACTAATATTCAAATTAAAAATATCTTTTAATTTATATTATTCAAAAGGAATATGAATTTAATAAAAATATTAAATCCATCAATAAAATTCACTCTTTTTCCAACAATCCTCATATGAATGAAATTGATGATTTTATCAAAAATATTTTGACTTGATGTGGTGATAGACTCTATGATAGATAATTGTATAGGATAGGCAGGTGTCCTAATTTGAACATTTCTTGTGATAGTATATTTATTCTACTGGCTAAACAGTAAACACGATGTCTTTTATTCTATCGTTTGTGTAAACGGTGATATACTTCACACAACTACCCTCTGACGAGAATTTAGTTCTCATGAGTATGCCATTAAAGCCATGAACATTGCATGGTTCTGCAAGAGTTTGAAATGAACTATGCCCAATAATCTCCTTGAAGCGACCCAATTTCACTCTCATATAGGTGACTTATGTTGCTTGGCTCATCGAAGCACACAATGATTATTAAAAACTTTACTTAGCCTATACCACTTTGATCACTATTTACATCATAGGAACGAGAATGAGATAAAAACTTCCCACTATGATCGTACACAATTTATGCAATTAGGTTGGTTCTTTGAACCTAGATATTGGGATCTCTAATCAACAAGGTAGGGTTTTCCTTCACAATTTATGCAATTAGTATTTCATTTTAATACCTAATTTTTTCCTTTCAAAATCATTAACTACAATGTTGATGTGATGTGACATGACATACTAATTTTTTTTTTTAATTTTACATCACCTTTCTATTTTTTCGTCAATATTTTTTATTCTTATAGTTGTCTTCATGATATACAAACTCGAATTTAGATATCTCATGTGTCACTGGAATAAACTGACGTGCCCCAAATAGTTGAAGCTCTAAAAGTGGAGAATAACCAACACCTCCCCATAGCCCAAGTAATGTTACTATTCATGAGTATTCGCACCGGTAAATAATGTCACTATGAGTCAACCAAGGGACTCTATGTGATTTTTAGAAAATTATTTACATATAACTTTAATATCAAATATATTTAAATTATTAGGTTATTTACAATTATTATATTTTAATTAACTAAAATACTAATTTTTAATTAATTCAAGTTTTCAATAATTTATTAAAAATTTCAAAAAATTTTAATAAAAAATAACTAATCTTTTATCACAACTTTGATCGATTCAAGTTCCAGAGTAGATCTACTTCTCTTTGAAATCTTGTATTTATAAATATTAGTAATTTGAGTTATATAGATAAGCTGAGAATTATTATTCACGTACAAATTTTGTAATATTAAATTGAAAAATTGTGACTAAAAGAAGTAAGGTGAAATAATATGGCTTGTTATGAGTAGGTTATAGGGGCTTTAATAGTAGGGAGGTTTAATATTGTTCAAATTAATCCATAAGCGTTGATCGTATTTATTGATTGATATAATCATTATATTTTATAAATTAATTAATCAATTTATTAAGAATAAGTATCTTTTATTAATCTAAGACGATTTTAAATAATAATATATTTTCTAGTGACTCTCAACCAATCGATAACGATCACTCAAATATGTTAGAGTCGTTAGTTTTCAAACACATAATTTCTAGGAATAACGATCATCACTTAAACTACTGTGATAACTTCATTCATGTTAAAATTAAATAATTTTAATCAATTAATTATTAATAAATTATATTTATATTTTATATTTTTTTAAATCGATATTTTATACTCGTAAAAAGATTTCTCTTTTAATAGTGTATTGAACTATTATTAATATCATGTGTCTAACTTTATTATATTATTAATGATGTTATAAATTTTGCTATAATTTTAAATTTTTCATATTAAATTATCTTTAAAAAAAGAAAAGATTACATATTAATATGAAACTCAAATCAAATAACGATAGACTATTAACAATTAATAGTGTCTTAAGAGTCGGATTAAAATTAATAAAATTTAATAACCATTATAACAATTAACATGTCATTTCGGTTAAACAATACAATTAATTAACCGACTGTAAACACTCATATTTAATACATCCATAATACTTTCAGCATCCATGCAAATATGGATAAAACAATCCATGCCCACACAACCTAATCGCTATTTTCATTTCCTAACCAAATGAAGCTTAAACCTGCAAACAACAAAGCCTAGCATGGCGTCCAGTCATTGTAATTTCAAATACAAAGGTTAGCAGTAATAATTAGTTACCCCTCAACAGTCTTTGGATTCTATATAGGGTCCAATAGAGATCAAAATCAACATCTCTACTGCTTTTCTAACCTTCAACCTCTAATTTCACATTTCGATCCAACAGACAGACAGACTGCGAGAAGTTTTACTCACCGCGCAGCTGTTTTGTCTTTCTTCCCACCGGGCTTTCTGCTTTTCTCTTCTTGATTTCACCCACTAGCCTCTTGATGTAAGCAATGTATCCATCGACATCAAATTTTCGTTTGCATCCAGCATAGTTCATATATCGAATTTTCCCAAAAACAGGTCGTTCTCGCCATCCCTGATTGAATGCCGATGAAGCAAATGTAGATGGCATGAATAAGCTACAACAGGCCTTTTGCACAAACCGACGATACTACGACAAATACAAACCTGGTCATGCACTCCACAAATCGACCACATGCAACCAACGTACCCATTTGGATCCCTACCATCTATTGAATACTGCAATGAAGAATTTCGTGCCAAAGAATGAAAGTGACACTTGCATTGATATCAATGAAGAAAATGCATCTTTACTTAATTTACCTTGTCATTTAGATATATGCATATTTCAATTGCCTCTTTAGGTCCCGTCGTCCACTCAAGAATCTTTTTTGCCCAGTACATGCTGCACATGGTTTTGAAGCTTTCAGAAACAAGATTACTACGAACAATATATATAGGGCAAGAATCAGTTACAAATCCATGATAGCTTACTTAAGTTATGCTCGGAAACCAAGGGAAAAACGACCGGCTAATTCGCATGGTTGTTTAACCTTTGTAAACAACAACGGATGCATTCAAGATCTTTAATTTACAGGGATGCTACGTGATTACCCCGATAATCTGCTTTTGTCAAATTTTACACTGGAAATTGGTTGATTTAATTGAGCCTTCCCAATTTATTACATTAATAGATTCAAGGCTAATTTCATCCATGTCAAACATGGAATAAACATGCAAACAACATTCTCAACCTGAAATGAAAAAGAGAGAGCAATTTATCAAGAAGTCACTTGCCGCATAAAGCCATGCATCTTCCCGTAGTGAACCATCTCGAGCTGTGAAGCGTTCCAAAGCTGGAAGTTGGAATAAAAATAGAAAATAAACGCAGTGATGAGAACAAAAAAGAATCTCGAGCTGAAACATACTAATGCGTGATATCACAAAACCAAAAAAAAAACGCTCTCATACTGTCAAGTGTATTCCAATCCACTAAACAACTTGGATATACGGACGAAACCGATATCTGGAATAGTTAACTTCGAACATGGACGATACTGTAGGAGGATCGTGGGTTGCATTAGTTGACAATCTTAGTAGGAGAGTGCATAGGAGGGTATTGTGGGATCGGTTTAGCCGTTTTGGTAAGGTGATTAAAGTTTTTATTCTGTTTGTTAATAGCAGATCCAACTACAAGAACAAGACGTTTGCCTTTGTGCATTTTGCGAGTAAGGAGGATTTGATTACTGCTAAGGAGAAGATGAACAACGTCCTTGTTGATGGGAGGAGATTCGTGTCATATGCAAATATCAGAGGAGTAGTGGTCCGAGGAACTTGAATCGCAATAGAGTAGTAGAGGCTGGAGGTGTAGGTGTCGAGGTTTCGAAAAGGCAAAATGCATCTAGCCAAGTGGTTGGGGCTAGGAAGAAGGAGATGATGAACAGGTTCCAGGATGGCAGAACATATAAGGATACGGTAGTAGGTTTGAAAAAAGATGAGGGTCACAATCCAGAAACCTTGGGGACAGAGAGGAGAAGAAGGACATGGATTTCTTCATTCCTTTGGAGGAAAGATCATGGCTGAGGACTTCATTAACAGGTATCGTTAATGTGATATTTGAGGTTGAGTTTGTGCAAAGGGCATTGAGAACAGAGGGAATCAATGTTAAGGTAGTTAGATGGGGTTATGCGAAAAATGCATGTTTGGTAGTTTTCCGGTCTGTGGAGGAGAAAGAAGCAGCTATAGAAGATAAGTGGGAAGCTTTGTCCTTTTGGTTTGAAAGGTTAGAGCCTGTGATCAAAGAGAAGGGTGTTCCATTACCTTACTGTTCAGTATCCATGATGGGCGTTCCATTAAACTGCTGGTCAGTTTCATTTTTTACTAGTTTGGCATCGAGATGGCAAATTAGTGAAGATTCAAGAACAGACAGCTCAAAGTTGATTGCAGGGTGGCTCAGATGTTATTAAGAGTTGAAAGTCCGTTTGACATCCCTCCATATGTCATCTTTAATACTCTTGGAAGTCCTTTACTATCAAGATTAAGGTAGACAGCAGTGATGATTTCTTCCCTGAGCTTGAGGAAGGGGAAGATGATGAAAGGGTTGATGAAGATGGTTCTCAAGGAGGAACAGTGGTTCCTTGGGAGAGGGATTCGTCAGAGGGGAGCAAAGGGGAGGATCGAGATGGTCTGCAAGGGCAGTTGAATTCTCAGCATATGTCAGACTCTAGAAGCAGGGTTGAAGAGTGGGTTCGAGGTTTTTCACAGGGAGGTGGCCCAATGAACGAGGGAAATTTGAAAAATAGCGCTGAAGCCGAGGACAGTTCAAATGTTGACCTTTGTAAAGAGGGGACAGTACTAGGTGAAGGTTGCAGCAAGCAGACTGTGTCAGGTACTTTTTCTGATGGGAGGAAAAAGGTGGTCAGCTTACAAGGAGACACCTCGGGGAAAGATAAAGTGGTCCAAGAGGATGGGCTTATTTCCAACATGGGTAGGAGGGAAGTATTTGGGCCTGAGCATTTTAGTCCATCAGCAAATAAGAATGGGAATAAGAATGAGGCTTCAATTTCAGATACACAGGTTGGATATGGTATGCAGAATGGGGTTGTGTCTCTATCACAGAGAAGACCTTTTGGGGGGAGTGTATCGGGTAATAATGTCGCGAGAGGATATCATAATAAAGTTTATGCTAGGAGGAGGGTTGCCAAAAGTTGTGATGGTATGGATGATGTTATTGGAGCAGGAGAAAAGAATCAGAGGAAGACAGAAGCAATGGAGTGTTGGAAAGTATCCAATTTATTGGGGGTAAAGTTTAAAGGAGGAGAAAAGGAATTCCTGACCAAAGTTGTTCCTTTGGTGAAGGATAGAGATGTTTGAGGGGTGGTAGTTGGTTCAGGGGTTATGGTCATAAAATGCATTTGATGGTAGAATGGTCCATTATGTGTTGGAATGTTAGGGGTCTGGGTAGGAAGGTTAAAGCACGTGCTATTAGGAGATTTGTAGAGGAGAAAAAACCAACTATCTTATTTTTGCAAGAATCCAAATTGGAAATTGTTAGCACTATGTTAGGTAGGAAAATGGGAGGTAAAATCCTTAATGGTTTGGCAGTTGTGCCTGCTGTAGGTTCGGCTGGTGGTCTAATAACAATGTGGAATCAGAAGGTATTTGTGGTGAAGGAAAAGGTCATCCGAACTAGATTTGTGGCGTTAAAGGGTTGGTTGGATGGTATGCCAAACTATTGTTGTTCATAAATGTCTATGGTCCAAGTGTGGAGGCTGATAAAGAGCCATTTTTCAGGGATTTATTTTCCTTTCTGGAACAGGTGGACTGTCCAGTGTGTTTAGGTGGGGATTTCAATGCCTTTTTGACGCAGGAAGAAAAGGGGTGGTGTGAATTTGATGTCGATGAATATTTTTCGAGATTTTGTCTCTAAGGCAAATCTAATTGATTTACCTTTATTGGGAGGTCAGTTCACGTGGTGTAATAATAGGGAAGTTCCCACTTTTGAGAGATTGGATCGGTTTTTAGTTGATCATAGTTTTTTTCTCGCAATTCCCAAAGATCAACCAAAATCTGCAGCCTAGGTCCATTTCTGATCATAATATTATTCTACTGGAGAATAGGGAGTGCAATTGGGGGCCGAAACCGTTTAGACTGTTTAATTATATGTTGGAGGAAGGGTTTAGTGAACTGTTGACAAAAGAACTGTTCAATCTGGGTACACAAAACTCGATACCCATTTCCAAAATTCTTAACCGGGTGAAGGATGTCGCAAAAAATTGGGCTGGTAAGGGTTTTCTTCAATTACCAGGCCGAATCAGAACCTTGGAGTCTGTGATACAGGATATGGAAATGAAATTGCAACAAGGGTCTTCTTTGTTGTCAATGAATTCTATTGTTGAAGCAAAGAGAGAATTATAGGAGTTACAAAAGAAGGAAGAATCAATTTGGATGCAAAAGTCTAGATTGAAATGGAGATTGGAGGGGGATAAGAACACACGGTTTTTCCATCATAGTGCAGCAATTAGAGGGAGGATAAACTACATAAAAGCTATCAAAGTTGATGGTGAAGTTATTGAAGACCCTAGGTCAGTTAAAGCTTCAGTGGTGGAGTTTTTCAAGAGGTTGTATAATCAAACACCCTGGAGGCAGAGGAATTAAATCTGGATTTTCTCAAGCTGTCCGAAGGTCAGTGTTTAGCTTTGGAGAAGCCTTTTTCTGAAGAGGAAGTTTGGGAAGCTATTGCTCATTCGGATATCAACAAAGCTCCGGGTCCAGATGGTCTGAACTTAGGGTTTTTTAAGAAGTTCTGGGCTAAATTGAAGGATGATATGATGAGGTTTTTTAGGGATTTCTATGTGGGGAAGGTATGGGAGCCGGAGGTGAACTTTTCCTTCATTTCTCTTATTCCAAAGAAGGCAAATCCGGAGGGTTGGAAGAGTTTAGGCCAATTAGCCTAGTGGGAGGTCTTTATAAAGTCATCTCTAAGGTCTTAGCTAGAAGATTGAGTTTGTATCTCAATGATATTATAAGTCAGTCCCAATTTGCTTTTATTCCGGGGAGAAACATCTTGGATTGCTCTTTTATTGCAAATGAGAGTATTGATTTTTGGAGGAAGAGAGGGCTGAAGGGAGTAGTTTTCAAGGTGGATTTTATGAGAGCTTATGATTCGGTAGATTGGAAAATTTTGATTCAAATTATGAGCAAAATGGGGTTTGGTGAAAAGTGGAGGTCGTGGATGTTCCAGTGCATGTCAACTGCTGAGATTTCGGTTTTGTTAAATGGGTCTCCAACGGAGAAATTTCATATTTCCAGAGGTCTGAGACAGGGTTGTTCACTTTCACCTATGCTTTTCAACTTGGCTACTGAGTTGCTGCATTTACTGTTAACTAAAGCAGTGGATATGGGATTGTTTTTGGGGTTTGATTTAGGACTGCAGGACCGAGCATTCAAGCTGTCACACCTTCAATTTGCGGATGATCTTATAATTTTCAGTAAAGGTTCCATTCGTGAGTTGAGGAATATTAGAAGAGTGTTACTGATTTATGAACTTCTGGTGGGGCTGAAGTTAAATCTAGGTAAAAGCAGGATTTTTGGAATCAATGTTGAAGAAGGGGAGCTAACTAATTGGGCTGAAGTTATTGGCTGCTCGGTTGGATATCTTCCATCTGAATATTTAGGTCTGCCTCTGGGGTTCAAGAGGAATTCGGTTGCTATGTGGGATCCTATAGTGGCGAGATTTAATGCTAAATTCAGTGGTTGGATAGCTAATTCTCTGTCGATAGCGGGAAGAGTGGTTTTGGTCAAATCGGTGCTATGCTCTCTTCCGGTCTATTTTCTGTCTATGTTCAGAATCCCAGCTGCTGTGATACTTAAACTCAACTCTATCATGGCTTCATTTCTGTGGGGGGATTCGATTGACAAGAAAAAAATCCATTGGGTCAACTGGAAGTCGGTCTCTAAACCAAGAAATCTAGGGGGTCTAGGGGTCCCTAATCTAGCACTTTTGAACCGAGCTTTACTAGGAAAATGGGTTTGGAAGTTTTCTTCTGATAAGAAATCTTGGTGGAAGAAAGTGATTTGTGCCGCCTACAATTTGGATCCGAAGTCCATTATTTTGGAGAATTCGGTGCCAGCTCGTGCATCGTGGATTTGGAAAGGTGTGGTGAAAAACTTCTTCAACAGTGATGATTTTGGAGAGTGTCTTAAAAGGAATATGCGTTTGAAGGCGGGGAAAGGGGAAGATGTGCAGTTCTGGAATGATGTATGGTTGGGTGATGTTCCCCTGAAATTGTTGTTTCCTAGACTTTATGTTCTATCAATTAATAAATCGGGTAAAGTGAAGGATTTAGGGTAAATAATGCTTCGGGTTGGGTGTGGGACATCCAAATGAGAAGGAATTTGGCTGATTGGGAAGTAGAACATGGATGCAGTTGATTTCTATGTTGAATAATACCTCTCCTTTTCCTACTGAAGATGATTGTTGGATTTGGTTAGGGAATGGTGAAGGAAATTTTACAGCTAAATCTTGTATAAACGTTTTTTATGAACAACGTGGTTCTGAGCAAAATCAAGTGAATTGGGATAAGAATATTTGGTCTGGTTTAGCTCCTCCAAGGGTGTAATTGTTTGTTTGGCAACTAGTGCAACATAGAGTACCGGTTAAAGAGGAGTTAGCAAAGAGAGGTGTTGCAGAGATTGTTGACCAACGTTGTGTTTTGTGTGTAGGGAGGTGGAATCAGTTTCCCATCTGTTTCTGCATTGCAGGGTTGTGTGGGGTCTGTGGTCCTCCTTCTTGAAAATGTGGAATGTGTCATTGGTGACTCCAAAGTGTACCATGGAATTTCTAATTTTGTGGGATGATTTTATGACTAACTCTTTGATTTGGAAATTCATTCCTAGGTCAGTGATGTGGTCAGTATGGAAGTGTAGAAATGAGATTATCTTTCAGAAAGGAAAGCTGGATTTGGTCAGATTATCTTTCATTGTTAGATTTAGAGTGGCTTCCTGGTTTAGTGCTCGTTTCAAGGATGTGGGTATTCCTCTAGATTCTCTAGTAGGTGATTTGAAAATTGCTAATTCGATTGGTAGATCAGGAAAGGATTGCTCTCAACCTGCTTGCTGGGTTCTTCCACCGGAGGGGTTTCTAAAGTTAAATGTTGATGGAGCGATGGTTTCGGGTTGGGAAAAAGGAGGTATTGGTGGTCTATTTCGAGATAGCAGAGATCTATTACTTCAGTGGTTTTCTGAAGCAGTAGGGGGTGGTCCTCCTATCTTGGCAGAGCTGTTGGCTATCAAAAGAGGGATTTGTCTTATGGAGGAGTTGGATTTTGTCGCAAATCAGAGAGTTATCTTGGAATCAGACTCATCTAACGCTCTGAAGTGGATCCAAAATCCGGGTTTAAGCCCTCCTTTGCATCTATCCTTGGTGAAGGATATAGTTTCGCTTTTGATTGGAAAGGATATTATTTTTAGGCATATTTCAAGGGCGGCAAACTGGGAAGCTGATAAACTTGCTAAAGATGGGATAGGGTGATTTTGGTTATTGTTGTGTTGTTTAACAGGAATTGTACCTCCCTGTTTGTTGGATGTTTTGTGTTAAGTTTTATGTTCTTCTGTTGGAAGTGTAGGAGTTTGTTCAATCTTGTAATCTGGTTCTTGTGAATAAAAGTTTTCTTGGCTCTCCTTTCCTCTTTCGTTGTTCCTTCATGTTACTCTCATAACATGGAGGGATTGAAGGAGGATTTTAATGAGGCCTCTTTCTATCCAAAAAAAAAAAAAACGCTCACAAATGAAATTCAGAAGTTGCCAACAATTTACTTACAGGATCAGCTGTTTGTGCCTTCTCCAAACGCTCCCTCCTACAAATTCAAGAGTTATTTGCACTCCACTTGGAACAATAGGAGAATATTCCACAACAGAGTTCAAGACAACAGAAAACCACTCACGTGTAAATATGTTCTCGCTTATCAGCGGCATGGTCCATCAAGGTCTTTCTTGCCCATTCCCATGCCCCCTGTATAGTATCGTAATTGGGCTGATAATAGCAAAAGTTATCAGCAAGTTCTCTCCGCACAATCAACTCCTCTAAAAAGGTATATCAACTGCCTTCAGAGTAGCAAGTAAAGATGAAACGGCGAACCATACATTAGATACAAGAAACTACCAAGTTAAAACAAGCAGTAGAATGGTTAGAGAATTAACTGCTACAAACCTGAGCATAAAGTTTCCGCAAACCTCGTGCCTCTAAGGCACATCTCTGTGCAGAAATCTGCCCAAAATGTAGATACGGAGACAAACAAGAAAGAGCTCTGGGTTTCAAAGGATTATTCCTGTCTGTAGAATAATTCCTCAACCTTTTTGCCAAGAAACCATCTTTGTTTCCCATCAATACTTCCATTGCTGCAGTTTCTCCAGGTTCACACCATTCAATTTCAGGTACACCAGCCCCATTCCTGACCACAGGAAATATCAGAATTATCGACACAAAAGTTATCTGAACTCAACTCCACCAAAATAGATAAATTTCTGACCTCAAAACATCGGCGATGAGACCGTCCCAATCAATCAGCATATTCATTGCATCCCATTTCTTATTCGGTGGTTGTAGAGTTGGAAAGTCGATTAAATACTCAGGAATCAGTTTATTTATCTTGCCCCTAATCGTCTTAGCACTATACTCTAACTTAACCGATGCAACCCAAATAGGAACTATATTATGAGCATCAACCTCATGTATGGTCACAGAATCACTCACTCTCTTACCAATCTCTTCTTTGCATTTTCGAATTGGCCTTAACGGTGAGAAATCAGTAACTAAAAGTGAAGCTTTACATTCTCCAAGAAACTTTGGTATTGTTTCTTCAGCTACTCCCTAAAAACTCAGCACACATAAGCAAAATGTTGGTACCATGCTGAGGAAAACATAGAATTCACAACCTTTTAGCAAGAACATTGCAGATAAGTCGTTCGTTTAGACAGAATTTTCATATTCATTGAATAAAGAATCCTACACAACTAAGGTAGCATCAACTGACTACAATAAGCAGCAATTTTTACATGAACATTCGGAGGAAATCGGTGAACATTTTTAATTTTTTGTAATTGACGTAAACTCTAAAACTCTTACTTGAAACAAATAACAAAAACTCTTACTTGAAACAAGAAGAAAGGAATCTGAGCATCTTCAAGACATTTTTGTAATTGACGTAAACCCTTCAGCATGAAACCTAGTTGTCTTGCTTTAGCCCCCATGAATTGTTCAAAGAGATTGAAAGCTATAGCCACGGGCACATTGGCCTTGTTGGCTTGATCAACTGCGTGGATCAAAGCCCAGTTGTCTTTCAACCGTTGATCCCTAAACATCCAGTACACCACGGGACCATTTCTTAGTGAATGAGACCCTTCCTTCAAGACCCGGATCCGACCCGGTTGTACAGAGGTTGGTTTGGATGACGGTGAAGTTAGAGAAGTCATGGAGAGGGTAAAGAGGAAGCGAAGCGAAGGACGTCGGCTACCGTGCGCCAGTTGGGGGTGTTGTTTACAGGGCGGTGGATTGATTGAGGAAGAGAAATTGGAGGGAAGATGGCAGAAACAGTTTGAAGTTGTGGTTTTAAATCAATATACGTGGATAAGTTAGAGATTCAACACGTGGCACCTGCACAGCATATTGTTTTTGGGGTGTGGGATTAATTTAAGGGTAAACTATAGCTATGATCAATTAACCATTATTCCATTTTATTTTGATGATATTTTTTAATATTTTTAATTAGATAATTTAACTATTTAATTATATCAATCGAGTTATTAACCTGTAAAAGCAACCCGAACCTAAAGTACTACGATTCCATCAGTGACAGTTATAGTAACTAAAGATAAACTTTGTTTTATATTACTTTGAGTTGCGGTTGTAGTTGCCACGGTTATCGGAGATTGAGAAACATGAGAAATGGGTTTACAAGAGAGTTAAAGTTGGGAGAAGTTCCCCACTATAGATGCTCTGAAGTTGTTCTCGAAGGATTGGAAGATGAGAAAAAACATCACACAAAGAACATCGGAGCTTCACAATTTTTTCGGTATCAGTGTTATGAACGAGCATGGGTTCGAGATGAGCCCAATACCAGGCTCATTTACCTTTGATAGCCTGGGTTCGAACCATGACTAACCATTCGAACCTTTTATGCATGACCTTGACTACTAACTGGTCGACCGAGGCTGTCCATCGGAGTGATTGTTGTATTTTTCAGAAAATTGTGTTAATCGAGAATAATATAAAGAAATAATAATGATAATAATACTCATATATCATTATAAAAAGAATGACAAGGAACAAAGTTACTCTATTTCAAGATTGTTATGTAAAATAATAATTTAAGACGAAATCGAACGTGAAAAATAAAATAAAAAAGTTAAACTTTTTAAAAAAAACAAAATAAAATATATGAAAAGAAAAATACTATTTTGTTTTTCTTTTGATCGAAACAGTTGAGGCATGTAAGACATATTTTCAGTAATTCATTTGGTGTTTGAGATCGTTGGTTGTCTATCTCTCATAATACAATATCTAGATGATCAACTACAGTTGCACAGCTGTGGAGATAGTGAATTATTATTGCCTTCGTCTATCAACGGAAAACTAATGGAGGAAAACTTTTCTGATTTCTCGAACATGGGTTTAACTTAGCAGGTTAGCATGATATATATAAGGGATTTCCAAGAGAGACTTACTCTAATCAGATATCTTTTAATATTCAATTTTAAACATATAATAATATATTTTAATTTGAAAATTTCAAAAGATATAGACAAATTTTACTATTCAAACTTAAATAGATATTATTTTAATTTGAAATATTCAAAATTATATAATTATCTTTAATATTTAAAGTTAAATAACTTATAAATATATGTTTAATTTAACTTATTCAAAGAGTAATTATCATACTAATATTCAAATTAAAAATATCTTTTAATTTATATTATTCAAAAGGAATATGAATTTAATAAAAATATTAAATCCATCAATAAAATTCACTCTTTTTCCAACAATCCTCATATGAATGAAATTGATGATTTTATCAAAAATATTTTGACTTGATGTGGTGATAGACTCTATGATAGATAATTGTATAGGATAGGCAGGTGTCCTAATTTGAACATTTCTTGTGATAGTATATTTATTCTACTGGCTAAACAGTAAACACGATGTCTTTTATTCTATCGTTTGTGTAAACAGTGATATACTTCACACAACTACCCTCTGACGAGAATTTAGTTCTCATGAGTATGCCATTAAAGCCATGAACATTGCATGGTTCTGCAAGAGTTTGAAATGAACTATGCCCAATAATCTCCTTGAAGCGACCCAATTTCACTCTCATATAGGTGACTTATGGTTCTTGGCTCATCGAAGCACACAATGATTATTAAAAGCTTTACTTAGCCTATACCACTTTGATCACTGTTTACATCATAGGAACGAGAATGAGATAAAAACTTCCCACTATGATCGTACACAATTTATGCAATTAGGTTGGTTCTTTGAACCTAGATCTTGGGATCTCTAATCAACAAGGTAGGGTTTTCCTTCACATAGAGCCTTTAAATTTCATGGGCTTTAGTCCAATTCCTTTAGATGTTTCTCAACTTGATCTCGATTTAACCCTTTGATTAGCAAATCTATAATGTTATACTTTGATTTTACACAGGTTATGCAATTAGGTTGTTTCTTTGATCCTAGATATTGGGATCTCTAATCAACAAGGTAGGGTTTTCCTTCACATAGAGCCTTTAAATTTCAGGGGCTTTAGTCCAAGTCCTTTAGATGTTTTCTCAACTTGATCTTGATTTAACCCTTTGATTAGCAAATCTACAATGTTATCCTTTGATTTTACCAAATCAACCAGATAAATCTATTTGAAAATAGTTTGTCTATGGTATTATATTGAGAACGCATATGTTTCAACTTACCAATTCTATGCTAGTTACAATATATGCATATTGTGAACACATGTTTCAATCATTCAACAATATCCTTCAAGAAATTCCAAAGTCATTTAGTTTATTCTCCAGAATTATCTAGAGCTACAAACTCAAATTTCATTATGAATCTGATTATAACCATTTTCTTAAAGATTTTCATGACATGACTTTTTCTCCCAATGTAAAATATATTCAGTTGTGTCGTTGATATCTTGAATATCAAATTCCTATTAGTATCAGTCAATCCTTCTAAGATAATAGGATAGTCAAAGAAAATATAATCCATCGTTATGACCTATTTTCATTTCTTTTAGTAATACGACCATTACCTTCTCAAGACACTCACATATTTTCAAGTTTTTGTATGATGCAAGTTTTTGACCTTTTCATAACTCATATGGTGTCTTGTCCTTTTTTCTTTCGTGTGGACTTTATTTGAAAGGTAATTAGTTGAAAGAACAACTTCTCTCTCCCCCACATGTTCTGTGACAACTCAGAAATTCTTAGCATTATGTTCATTATCTCCTTTAAAGTTCAATTCTTCTGTTTTGCTACTCCATTTATTTTGGGAGAGTATAGTGATGTCACTTCATGAATAATATCATGTTGGGCAAAATAGTTTAACATATTCACCACCACTATCACTCCTTACCATCTTAATCTATTTATTAAATTTGTTTTCAACTTTATGTTTATGGAAAACAAATTTCTCTATAATTTCGCTTTGCTTTTTTAGAAAATACACATAGCAATACTTTTTCTTTCATCAATAGAGGTAATAAAATATTTATTCTCTCTCGTCTGTGTCATTGTTACGGATTTTAAGAACTTGGTCACTAACAATTCATTATAATCAACATCTCCTGTTTCGTATTTATGGTCCAATGTTATCCATAATTCTTTTATTATATCTTATGGATATTATACACCTTATATAGTGTATCTGATAATACATTCAGGATGTTTTTCCAATATATGAAATCATAATACTTTCAAACTTTAAAAATAATGAGCGCGGTAACAATGTTTACCTCATTCTCTCTAATAATCGAAGGTTCATCCGATATTTGACCAAATTTAATATGGTCAAATAGAACAACATATTATGTTTTTACATCTTAAAATTCCTATCCATAGAATTTTTCAAGTTTCTCATTGTGGCTCATGACAACTGATAGTCATGATTTTGTTTAACACGCGAAATTAAAATTAATAATAATTCTAACAATAAACCAAAAATAAATTCTAGTTTATTTTATCAACAAAATTTAGTTAGAAACTAAATTTTGAAACAAATCAGTAACAAAGTTGTCACTTTCAAATGATTTCTATTATAAATAGTAATCAAATAATTCTATTAAGTGACAAATTTAAAATATCCATTGATTTCAAATATGAAACCAAAAATTCTAATAAACAAAAATTAATTCTTATTTATTTTCAATTTTGTTGTTAGACATAATCAATATTATGAAACAAAATTAGTAACCAAAGTTACTTTCATGATAATTTTTGTTAAATAGATTTGTTCACTTTGTGATTTTAGCAAACTCGTTAAGACAATAGGTTAATCTCGAAACAAATTTATCAGTTATCTTATTTTTCCCACGGTATCTGAACCATTTCTGATTAAAGAAAGGAAGAAGAAAGAGTTCCAAATCGTTTTTGATTAAAGGGAAATATTCAAATTTCATCTACCATATTGACTTCATCGTTGTTAATAAAAACCTTAAACCATCAAGATTCAAGTTATGCCCCACAAAGTGTGCAACCACAAAGATCTTAAAAAGGTTTTTCAATTCAATAATTTGAATCTTTACACATAAATTAGTGGAATCATTTCTCACATTAAAAATTAAACTCAAAATTATTCCACAAAAAAAAAAAATTAAAATTCATAAATTCAAAATTGAAGGAAACTTATCATTGGTGTAAATTCCTTTTGATTTTCGTCCAATATTTATATTGCCGAAAGTTTTGACACTTTTCTTGAACACGCCAAGGATTGAACTCAAATGAATTCTATATCATCTCAGAAAATAATAATAAATCTATATTGAGATTGCTAAAAAATTGCGTTAATCCGAGAATGGTATAGAAAAATAATAATGATAATAATAATCATGTATCATTTATAAAAAAGAATGATAAGGAACAAGTTTACTCTATCTTAAGATTGTTACGTAAAATAACAATCAAAGACGAAATCGAACCTGAGAAAATAAAATAAAGAAGTTAAACTTCTTAAAAAAAGTAAAATAAAAAATGAGAAAAAATACTCTTTTGTTTGATTTTTTTATCGAAAATAGTTGGGGCTTGTCGCTACATAGTTTCCTTAAGAAAATTTTTGGTCACTCCTTTGGTGCTCGAAATTTTTTGATCGTCTATCTCCCATGATACAACAACTAGATGATTAACTACAGTAGCACAACTGAAAAGATCATGAACTATCCTTATCCTTGCCTTTATCTATCACTGGAAAACTAATGGAGAAAAACTTTTATGATTTCTTAAACATGTGTTTAACCTAGCACATTATCATAGTATTTATGGGAAATTTCTAAGAGAAATTCACTCTAATAATATATCTTTTAATATTCAAATTTAATCAGATAATAATATCTTTTAATTTGAAATATTCAAAAGATATACACAA